AAAAGGGATTAGAAGCATATATAAAGGTGTTCTTTGTACCTTTAGTGGATTATGTAAGATTTGACAAGCCTTATAGGGCTTTATCATTAATGTAATGATCTGATATTTTCAGGGATGAATGATACATGAATTTTATTCTGTTTTTCCTTTTTACAGATGGAAACTAGCTTTCAGGCCCAGGGACTTCACATGCGCTTCTCCATTCATGGTGTCAACAGCAGTAACGAGTCAGCATTGGTGGAAGAACTGGAGATCGAGAGGACGAAATTTAGTGTACGAAGCCTTTCTTGCTCCTCAGACAAGCTGATGGTTCCAATGCCTTTAAAAAGTGTCCCTTGTGTTGTATGATACTAGTATTTCAAATTACTGGGGACTTATTTTGTTGTAGTTTAAGGATTTCCAGTATGCAGTGAAGTGTGAATATATTGGCTAATGATAGTTGAAAATGCTGAATGATTTTGGATGTCTTATAAGTGAATTTATACTACTTCTAGCCTGCTTGTATACTCCCTAAGTTCAGACCATTTGTCAAAAATTTATGTGAGAGGTAATCAGGTGAGTTAGGCTGATGATAATTTTGCTCAAGAGGAAGGAATTAAGACTTTTTCTACATGACTTTTTTATACGTTTTCAGATACCAGCAGCGTGGCTTACGCTCTTTAACCAGCTGTTCCTCATCGCAGCCATTCCAGTCCTTACCAGCTTCCTCTATCCCATCCTGGACAAAGCTGGCATCAGGGTGTCGATGCTGTTTAGAATAGGTATATTTGTATTTTGTTCTTTGGGCTGTTGGTCGTGGTGGGTCATTCCAGAACACGATTAACACAGTCAAATGATGTGGGGTTGTTAACTCTTAATTATGTAGGACAATTGAAGTCAGCTACTTAACCCATTGCCGCTGGGGATGGCATGTACATACATGCCATGCCCACTGTGAGTCGACTTGTTCGATTGTTTTTACACATAGATGGCTACACTTGTACTAAGTATCCAATGAGCCAATTACGAGTACTGCCTGTCTTGCCCGTTCACCCTTTTCATCGATTTACGAAAATATTTAACGTTATCCTGTTAAAAATAACACCATCTATATTCATAGCACTAGTAGTAAAAATACATTTTTTCCCGCCAATTCAAGGGAAGGTGAAATCAGGACTAGCAGAACCATCTATGGACAGAGATATTTAACAAAAATATAAAAAATGAGTACTGCATATCCCCCATTTTTTGTTCATTTTCCCCGGCAGCAATGGGTTAATAATGTAAGTTGTCTGTTTAGCTAAATTTGCATATTTGGTTTTACGAATCGTCATCAATTGTGTACTAAATTTTGATTTGCTTTTGCCTTCAGATGCAAATGTAATTGTTATATTGGCTTTCATCATGATTAGATATTATGTAGTTACTCATTTACCTGTTGAAGAGAATGCATTTATACATACACTGTCTATTGTAGTTTTGTTTTACTAACTTTGCTTTGACACACATGATTCCAAAGGCACTTACTAGGCTGACCTGACCTCTCATATTTACTTTCTTTGAATTTTTGGAAAGAGAAATAATTTTTTTTTTCCCGAAAATTCGAGGAATGAATTAAACAGGTGAGAGAAGGTAGCCATAGTAGGTGATTCTGGTGAATAATTAATTTAAAACTCTTCTGTATATAAACAAAATTAATAAAACAAAACCACAGGGAATGGTGTATCTATCTTGTGCCCAGTGGAGTTAAAAGTATGAAGGAGCATAGAGAATTCCACAATTAAGTATTGTAATATGGTATTTCAGGTGTTGGGATGGTGTTCAGTATCCTGGCAGTTATGACGGCTGGGGGTCTGGAGACTTACAGAACATACCTGTGGAGAACTGAGTGAGTTCCGTTGATAGATTTGTTCTGTGTTGTATGTGCATTTGGTTACTTCTGTGGATGGGAAATCTATTTAGGATGTGTTCAAGTGTGGTGGTATATGCTAGAGGATACAAAAACAGGACTGAACTCTAGCTGGACAATGCATTGGTATTTAGATTTTATAGAGCATCATACAAAGAATTTATTAGAATACAAGAAAATAAATTGCATAAACATTAGTGTAAATTACATTGGTGATGCACTCTCTCTTGTTTATACTCAGTACATCTATCTGTGTGGGTGTGTGTGTGTGGGTGTGTGTGGGTGTGTGTGGGTGTGGGTGTGTGTGGGTGTGGGTGTGTGTGTGTGTGTGTGTGGGTGTGGGTGTGGGTGTGGGTGTGGATGTGGATGTGGATGTGGATGTGGATGTGGATGTGGATGTGGATGTGGATGTGGATGTGGATGTGGATGTGGATGTGTGTGTGTGTGTGTGTGTGTGTGTGTGTGTGTGGGTGTGTGTCTGTGTGTCTGTCTGTCTCTGTCTGTGTGTCTGTCTCTGTCTGTGTGTCTGTCTCTGTCTGTGGTGTCGGTCTCTGCCACTGTGTGTCTGTCTCTGTCTGTGTGTCTGTTCGCTGTCTGTGTGGCTGTCTCTGTCTGTGTGTCCTTCTCTGTCTGTGTGTCTGTCCTCTGTCTGTGTTCCTGTCTCTGTCCTGTGTGTCCTGTCTCTGTCTTGTGGCTGTCTCTGTCCTGTGTGTCTGTCTCTGTCGTGTGTCTGTTCCTCTGTCTTGTGTGTCTGTCTCTGTCCTGTTGTGTACTGTCTCTGTCTGTGTGTCGTCGCTGTCCCGTGTGTCCCTGTCCTCTGTCTGTGTGTCGTCTCTGTCTGTGTGTCTGTCTCTGTTCCCTGTGTGTCTGTCTGTCTCTGTCCTGTGTGTCTGTACCCCACTGTCCCCCCCCCTTGTCTGTGTGTCTGTCTCTGTCTGTGTGGTCTGTCTCTGTCCTGTGTGTCTGTCTCTGTCTGTGGTGTCTGTCTCTGTCTGTTGTCTGTCTCTGTCTGTGTGTCTGTCTCTGTCTGTGTGTCTGTCTCTGTCTGTGTGTCTGTCTCTGTCTGTGTGTCTGTCTCTGTCTGTGTGTCTGTCTCTGTCTGTGTGTCTGTCTCTGTCTGTGTGTCTGTCTCTGTCTGTGTGTCTGTCTCTGTCTGTGTGTCTGTCTCTGTCTGTGTGTCTGTCTCTGTCTGTGTGTCTGTCTCTGTCTGTGTGTCTGTCTCTGTCTGTGTGTCTGTCTCTGTCTGTGTGTCTGTCTCTGTCTGTGTGTCTGTCTCTGTCTGTGTGTCTGTCTCTGTCTGTGTGTCTGTCTCTGTCTGTGTGTCTGTCTCTGTCTGTGTCTGTCTCTGTCTGTGTGTCTGTCTCTCTGTCTCTCTGTCTCTCTGTCTCTCTGTCTCTCTGTCTCTCTGTCTCTCTGTCTCTCTGTCTCTCTGTCTCTCTGTCTCTCTCTCTCTCTCTCTCTCTCTCTCTCTCTCTCTCTCTCTCTCTCTCTCTCTCTCTCTCTCTCTCTCTCTCTCTCTCTCTCTCTCTCTCTCTCTCTCTCCTTTCCCTGTGTGTGTGTGTGTGTGTGTGTGTGTGTGTGTGTGTGTGTGTGTGTGTGTGTGTGTGTGTGTGTGTGTGTGTGTGTGTGTGTGTGTGGGTGTGTGTCTGTGTGTCTGTCTGTCTCTGTCTGTGTGTCTGTCTCTGTCTGTGTGTCTGTCTCTGTCTGTGTGTCTGTCTCTGTCTGTGTGTCTGTCTCTGTCTGTGTGTCTGTCTCTGTCTGTGTGTCTGTCTCTGTCTGTGTGTCTGTCTCTGTCTGTGTGTCTGTCTCTCTGTCTGTCTGTCTCTCTCTCTCTCTGTCTCTCTCTCTCTCTCTCTCTCTCTCTCTCTCTCTCTCTCTCTCTCTCTCCTCTCTCTCTCTCTCTGTCTCTCTCTGTCTGTCTGTCTCTCTCTGTCTGTCTGTCTCTCTCTCTCTCTCTCTCTCTCTCTCTCTCTCTCTCTCTCTCTCTCTCTCTCTCTCTCTCTCTCTCTCTCTCTCTCTCTCTCTCTCTCTCTCTCTCTCCTTTCCCCTGTTTCTCCAAAAGATAATGTGGACAATAGATTTAGATATTAATGTATGAATGATGTGATTTTCTCTTTATGCTATGGATTCTAATGCTGTTTACGTTTCAAATTAACGTAAAGCTTTTGTTTGTTCTAGCAACTCAACACATATTGAGCAAGTGATCGGGAATGTGACATACCATGCTGTCAACATATCGATATTCTGGCAGGTTCCTCAGTATGTCTTAGTTGGAGCAGCTGAACTGTTTGCAAGCATCGCAGGTAAGCCATTTTCAGTGTCCTTGCTTTCACAGGTCTCACGCTTGATGCACACTGCCAGGTTTAATGTTTATTAACATTTGGTTTAGTGTCTCTTTGGTTCAAATCTTAACCCATTAAGGACCAAACATGGTAGTTGTTGCTTTCGGGTGTGAGTGCGCTTTGTATGGAAAATGGTCAAACACACACACACAATTATTACATAACCTTACCTTTGCAGTAGAATTGATGACATTTGCTCATTTCAGGTTTGGAGTTTGCCTATTCTGCTGCACCACGTTCCTTCCAAGCTATGATTATGGGCTTGTTCTACACCATGGAGGGCATTGGCTCTCTCCTGGGCACAGCGTTACTTCACCTTGTCAGTCCCTTTTGGCTCAGCAATATGACTGACTATGGGAATATCAATGACAACCATTTGGATTTTTACCTTTATTTCCTTGGGGTTCTTCAGTTTACTACCTTCTTAGTTTATTGTGGTGCCCTTTACATGCAGAAGTTTTCTCTGAGACCCATAGCTATGCCACCATCGAGAAGAAGACGTCCCACCGAGCCCTTCTCGGGCGACCAGGGACCAGGTGGTGTGGGGTTGATAGAGGAAGAAAACGAGGACGAGGACGAGGAGGACGAGGAAGATGATCACGACATGAGAGCGAATGATAATCAACAGTTGTTGTGAAACTTTTGTGATTAAATGATAGTTCTTGTAAATATAGAATCTCGTAAGATAATTTTTTTATATGCTTAATGTTCTGTGAATTTTTTTTTTTTTTTTGTTAGTGAAGTAGCAGTCACTGCTTAGACCTCTCCAA